GCCCGCGTCCGTCCTGCTGTCTCCGCCAGACGCATCCCGAGAATCGTCGGAGTGCGCAGATGATGTCATGAAGCCGGCCGCCGCTGCCTCGCAGACGGCTAACCGGCTCCGCTACCACGGTGTGGTGAACCCTTCTCAAAGGCACGCCATGACGGAGGGGACGATACGGTTTTCCTTCAGGAGGCCAGACAACTCATATCAGTGAAACGGCTTGAGCCAACAAAGGCGCACACAGACGGAGAAACCTGAAGCTCATGGGATACATTCCACAAATTGACAAGGAGGCTCTTCGGCGACGGCGACGGACCGCGGTATCAATTCGGCACTCGCACTCTGCAGCCTGGAAAGGGGTGTGGCATACGGCGGTGTGGTGCCAATCGTGGAAACAGCAATGCTTTCTACGGTAGATCGCCTCGCCAGACCCAGCATTGGCAGCACACCCCTTTCCCACCCCCAAACGCTCGAAGAACCATTGTGATGACACGGGCCCAGCTGGAAACCGTCCCCCCCGACCCCTGGCAGGGGGCGCTGCTCGCCCCTCAGGGGAAGGGGGGGGCTCAGGACGGCACCGTCGCCGAAACCTGGCCCCACCACCGAAGGAAATAGACAAATGGCGTGTGTACTTCGGGGAAGGACAGAACCCCCCTCAGTAAAACGTGGTTTAGTGAAAACGATCTCGGGCCCACACCTGGCGGGCGCAAGCCTGGAAAATGACGGCCGCGGCGCCTTCTCGAGAACGGGCAATTCTCGAATCGACGTGTCCGGATGGGGGCTCTGTCCACCCCCGAATACCTTACAAATATATGCAACCGTGCCTGCGGCACGAAGTGGAATGCCCCAAAGCTCATACAACCTCGAGAAGTAGGAGGGCGCTTCGAAAGTTCTTCAGGGCCCGGACCCCTGGGCCCCTCGGCGCTCCTGGGCGCTGCCGGGTGCTCTCGGGCGCCTCCGGGGTGTTTTGCGTGGGCCTCCAGGGCGGCCCCGTCGCTCCCGAGGGCGCCAAAAAACGAGCCAAGACAGCTGGTCCAAGAGGGCCCCGCGACGCCGAACGGTCGCACCAAGACGCCTGAGGTGGCCCCGGGACGGCCCAGGAGGCCTCCGAGACCCCCCAAGAGAGCCCCAGGAGCCTTCCTGAGAGGGCCCCGACAAGCAAAATTCAGTTTTCCCCCTTAGGTGTTTCAACGCTTTTGGCGTTTTCGACTTGTCAAGTTCCCGGCGCTCCAAAATGGCCCAAGAGGCCCTCAGGACCGACCCAAAAATGCCCCAGAGGTCTCCGAAAGAACCCAAAAACGGCCCAAGGGACATCCAAAATGGCCCGAGAAGACTCCAGGACGGCCCAAGATGGCACCAAAAACGGCCTCAAAAGGGAGCCCGTATGAGGAACCCAAGCAAACATTTCGAGCCCTCGGCCCCGAGGGGCCCCCAGGAGGCCCCAAGAGGCTCCCGAGAGGCCCCCCCAAAATCCCCCAAAGCCTCCCAAGAGGCCCCCGAGAGGCCCCAACTGCCCCAACACTGTATCCAAGAGGCCCCCGAGAGCGCTCCGAAGAGACCCTAAGACATATCTCCGAAAACCTTGGCCCGCAACCCAGGCACGGTGGCGGGATGGGCCGAAGGCCACGCGATAGTGATGCATTGCATTTATGAGTTGTATGATTGAGGGAATGTTGCGAATCAAATCAAGCCAGGCGCCCAATCGGCGCACAGGCGAAGTAGGCGGCTGAAAATACACCAAACGTGTCTGCGGTGCAGTCTGCCAAACGAGCTGCCATCTGAAGGAGAGGAGGGGGATGCAACTCTATTGGGGTAACACGTGCTGGTATACAGAGAATGCCCACTGCACAATTGGGCGCCCCCGCTTGCGATTGCGATACCACTTTTATGGACTTCGCGCTTCGGGTTCGCACGCAAGCTTTCGCAACAAATTATCCCCGGGTAAATCTGCGATTCTCTGGTACACTTTGATTTGTCTGCGAAGTATGCGCTCAATGGCTGTGCGCTCGCTCTTCCTTGTACCTCTTCGTTGGACACCCTGGAGTACTGCGCATGTGGCATATTCGATATTTTGCTGAAGCATGCTGCTTGGAAAGCATCCAATCGATGACGATCCGCTTGAAATGACCAAATATATTCCAGATTGTATAGCAACCTTGGGAGCACAATATCTTGAGGTAGATGTAGCTTGCGATGCAGTGTGTGATGTTCGCGTGATTCCAACATTTTGCCAACGAGCGGAAAACCCGTATCGCTTCATTAAGTATTCTGGTAAACTCCGGCCTGCTTTCCACTTTCGTGCTGGTCAATCCTCCCAGATAAACGCTTTGTTCCACGAGTTCCAAAAGCTCTCCTGACGGGGCGTACACACAACCATTGATTCGCACTTGCATTTCATCTGTTTTCTTCCCATTTAACTCCAATCAATATCTCTTGCCCTCCTGTATGATGATACGTTGTATGTTCTGAGTGCGAGTGTTGATGCAAGACATGGACATACGGATTTGGGAGCACCTTCGCTGTATGTCATTACGTGCGCTACTGACTTGGTTCATCTAAAAAACGCCCTGGGCGTTTTCTAACCGTTTTCTGATTTGGGCTCCACTTGTTTTAGCAATTTTAGATAGTCTTTGGGCGTTTTCAGGTTCGTCGCTGTGGTACAGCGTTTTGTTGCGCTTTTTTGCCTGATCGTCGATGGCTCCTCGTTGTCTTCTCTGCTAGCTTGGCTCCCGCACTCCCCGCCCTGCCACCGTTCGCCCTTTCTGCCCCCTCTTCCCTCTCCCAGGTCGACGCACCTGCCTCGATCCATGAACTGCGTACGCGGGGGGGGCGGGGGAGGGGGGAGGCGGGGGGCAAAAACCGGTTCCCGCGCGGAGACTTTAAAGCGCAACCAAAAAACGCTCTGGATCCGGTCTAACACCCGAAAAGGGGTGGCAACAAGGGAGGGCGGCCTTCCGCGACGAGTCACCAGCGACGGCCACAGAAAAGCAACTCTGTATAAAGAAGACGATAAAGGGGTACGCAAGGAGAAGGAAACACGCAATCCACGGACCTGAAAACGCTAGAAAACTGTCAGAAAACGCTGAAACGACGAGACGCATCATGGTTTTTAGCGTTTTCAGCTTCTGTTGAGACCTGATCGCGCAAACAACTGATTTTCTAGACGCCGAGCTGAACACGCTAACATAAATGCCCTGGGCATATCCAAGATGAACCAAGGCTGTTGAAGCTTGCAAATGGCGTGTTCTGGATGTACACTATTGATGTCTGCCCTCGATGACAGACGCCAGCCGATGCTAAATACCAGCCCTATATAGATGGTGCATGTTGCTGATTTGTGCTACTTGCGTATGCTCATGATGTATGTGCCTGGTGTATGGCATATTGGTGCGGCAGGTTCGTGTCATTCCGATTTCGGCGTTGGTTTCTGTCATCGCGGGGATCGTTTAACCTTGAACGATCGGTCGTTCATGAAACGTCAGATCCTTCAGTATCGACCGATTCTGGGTCGCCGGCAACGTTCAGCGTTGAACGCTGGCAGCGGGGTCGCCGCCGGTCGACACGACGCGAACCTCCCGTGTGCAGGGATGCCGAGGCGGGACACTCAGGGACCCCTGCGGATCTGTTGGGGCGGGCGGCCGCGGCATGCAATGCTCGAGAAGTGGGACGCTCAAGAACCGCTTGGGATTATCTGAGCCTGTCGGCCGCGGTGCTTCTGCGCGGCTGGCGAGGCGGGACGCTCGGGGACCACTGGGAACTCTTCGGGCCTGGTGGCCGTGGGTTATGCAGGGCTGGGGAGCGGGCGATGCTTTGAAATCTTCAACCCCCGCACTTGCCAGGGGGGAACAACAATTTGGAACGATGTGACACCATAAACCGTCAAACCTTGGTCGGATGACCTTTTGCGAAGCGGTCAGGGTAGACAACCGGTACAAGACACCTGTACAAACTGAGCAACATGTGCCTACGTCGAACGCGCTGGACACCCGGTGCACTGTGGGTTCGCTGCCCATGGCGGGTGGCGGTTTCTGACACCATATGCAACGCCTGGTGCCACATCGCTTGGTGCCACAAAGCGTTTGACGGAACATTTTTCACGGGATCTGCACTGCTCCCAGGAATACGTGGAACTCGGCTCGAGAATCCCACCAGCCCTCTGGGCGTCGGTGGTTTAGGGCGTTTCCTCTTCCACCCCTCCCTCTTCCCCTTCGGGGAGGGGTTTACACCTCCCCCTCCCCCCTCCCCACTGACCTGGACAGGAGGGGCGGGGAGCGGTCAGAGCGTCCAAAACGGCCTCGGCGAGGAAGCCAAAATCATTGATTTTACTATGGTTTTGGCCCCATTTTGGCCTTCTGAGGGGGCAGGGCTAATTAAAGCTCCCCTCTTCTTTGATCGATTTCCTCCACGATGGCCGCAAGAGGCCCCCAGGATGCCCCAAGAGGCCGCAGGATGGCCCCAAGATGGCCCCAAGAGGCCCCCCAAGAGGCCCCCAGGAGGCCCCCAAGAGACCCCCAAGAGGCCCCAAGAGACCCCCCAGAGGCACCCAAGGTGCTCCCAGAGGCCTTTTTACTATGGTTTGGGCCCCATTTTGGCCTTCTGAGGGGGCAAAGATGGCCCCAAGAAGCGCCCAGAAGGCCCCCAAAGGCCCCAAGATGGCCCCAAGAGGCCCCAAGAGGCCCCCAGGAGGCCCCAAAGAGGGCCCACAGAGGCCCCACCGAGGCACCCAAGACGCCGAAAAGCCCCTCAGGACGACCCTCTACTCGCCTGGGCGTCGTTTCTGGACGGGCTGGTGGGGATACGCGAAGCGTCTAGAATTGTTCACCTACGGCCAGTTGCGCTTGCCCCGTGTCGACATTGGTCTGGCCTCGCACAAGTTAGCAGTGCCATTACAGCATTACCAATCAATTGAGCGCCTCAACTGCCAACGGATGTCCCTTGTACACTCCCTCTTCTTCCTCCTCCATCTCATCTTTTCTATATCAGCATGCTGGCACGCGTCACCGCGGGGCCTTGGTGTGCACCAGAATGCGGGCGTCCACGGGAGATCGCTGGCCTCAACGACAGGGGCGCGCCCTTCAGACAACCTTTCCCACCGTTTCCTCTTCCCTCCACTCATTCCCTCCTTGTCATCCACTCCTCATTCTCCTCATCCCTTCTCCTCTTCGCTCCTCCTTCCCTTTCTCGTCTCCTCCATTCTCCCCGTCCCCTGCTCAGACACTTCCTCACCCACCCCCTGCCTCTCAACCCTGCCTCTGCCTCCCTGAGCTGCACGTTCCTTGCTTATCTCCATCCCAATTCTCAATTCCTCCCTCCCTCGCTCAGTTCGGAACTTGGGATGCGTTGGAGACCCTCGAGAATGCCACGGCGTGGCTGCATGACAAACGCCGCTCCGGGCGGGCCTGCTCCGGAGCACACCTAATTACCCAGAGGGGTGGCGCCCAGACTGTCTTGTCTACCGAATTCTCCAGCCCAACTTTTCGAGACAATGCAATCGATCTTCTACGGCGTGCTAGAATCAAGATCGGGGCAAATCATTTGGGTCAGCCAAGACACTTCCCCAGCAGACCTGGCAACCCGTAACTTCTGCTCGCGCCCCAATTGAAAATTGCCGTGCAAAATGTCCATGGACGGCGACTCGCCCTACATCGTAACCGTCGGAGTGGAGCGCGCTCTCACAACCTAACGTTGTGCACGACTGGCAAGCGGGCATGGGCTGACGTGGGACACGCTGACAAACAGCCCCCACATCGAAGTGCTGAGCGAGAAGTCGCGCGGGACCCTTGCCATGGTGTCGGAGGACAGGAAGGATGGGAACGCCCGACATGGGATGCGTAAAGGTGCTTGGGGGCGCCCAGGGGAATACAGGAAAGACGCTAAAGTAAGGACCGGTTTCGGCTCAAGAGGGGCTCTGGTTTTCGGGCGTCTCCTCAGAATCTAGATCGGGGGACCTATTCGTGGCCGAGGCTCGCCGTGGCCATAGAAGCGCCTCTGTTTCGTACTTTGGGTTCCTCCATCGGGGATGGACAGAACCCGCTTAAGTAAAACGTGGTTTAGTGAAAACGACCTCGGCCCCAAACCTGGCGGGCGCAAGTCTGGAAAATGACGGCCGCGGCGTCCTCTCGAGAACCGAAAACGGACAATTCACTAATCGACGTGTCAGAGTGGGGGTTCTGTCCACCCATGACACACGATGAGTGTAGTAAACAGCACACGGACTATTTGCCAACATGAATCCAAATCCGTTCAGGCTTCGGTCCGCAATCCGCTGGCCCCAGGCACGGTGGCGGGATGGGCCGAAAGCCACTAGGATCCGCCGCCCCCTGCTTGCAGGGGTGCACGGCGTGCTGGATGTTTCAGGTTTTGGTTTTGGTTCTTTTTCTAAAAGAACTCCCCAGTGGGCTTCGGCCCGTCCCGCCGGCCACCCTTCCAGGACCTCAATTCCCCAATTTCCTGCCCCAGACGGCTCCAAGATGGCCTCCAAGACGGCCAAGATGGCCCAAGATGGCCTCCAAGATGCCTCCCAGACGGCCAAGATGGCCTCCAAGACGGGTAAGATGGCTCCAAGATGCCTCCAAGACGGCCCAAGATGCCCTCCAAGACGGCCAAGATGGCCCCAAGATGCCTCCAAGATGGCCCAAGAGGCCTCCAAGACGTTCTCCAGGAGAGCCCGAAGAGGCCAAAATCATTGGTTTTCCTTAGGGTTTTGAAGTTTTTTTTGCGTTTTCTTCTTTTCGGCCTTCCGACGGCCCAAGAGGCCCCCAAGATCGCCCAAGAGGCCTCCAAGAAGGCCCTATGACGGCCCAAGGGCCCCCCAAGACGGCCCCAAGAGCGCCCCAAGACGGCCCAAGAGGCCTCCAAGACGCCCAACATGGCCTCCAAGACGGCCCTGAAGCGCCCCAAGAGGGCCCCAAGACGGCCCAGAGAGGCCCCCAAGACGGCTCCAGACGGCGTCAGACGGACCAGGAACGCCCTAAGACGGCCAAAGAGACCCCCAGGAAGCCCCCAAAGGCCCCCAAGAGGCCCAAGGAGGCCCCCAAGATGCCTCCAAGAGGCCTCGAAGAGGCCCCCAAGAAGCTCCCAACAGACCCCAAGGGTGCCCCAAGAGACTCCTAACAACCCTCATCCTCCTACTCTATTTCTTCCTCTTCCTCTTCCTGTTCATAATCATTCTCTCCCATGTGTTCCCCGAAAGCTTTCCAAACCGACTCGGGGAACTCATGGTCCGATAGCTTGGCCAAGCTCTAGTCCAACTTTCGGCCACATCGGCGTTTCCAAAAAGGCAGGGGGCGGCGGTGATTCGCCGTAGGCGTCTTCGATCCGCCGCCCCCTGCTTGCAGGGGTGCACGGCGTGCTGGACGTTTCAGGTTTTGGTTTTGGTTCTTTTTCTAAAAGAACTCCCCAGTGGGCTTCGGCCCGTCCCGCCGGCCACCCGCAAATTTCCCAAAATCCGTCTGTCAATGCCCAAAAACGGCCGTTTCGCTCGGGACATCCTCAAAAAATCGCGAAGATGGCCCAAGATGGCCTCCAAGTCCGCCCGAGATGGTCCAAGACGGCCTCCAAAACGGCCCAAGAGAGTCCAAGACGGCCCAAGACGGCCCAAGAGGCCCCCCAGAGGCCTCCCAGACGGCCCAAGAGGCCTCCAAGAGGTCCTCCAGGAGAGTCCGAAGAGGCCAAAATCATGGATTTTCCATTGGTTTTTGAAGGATTTTGGCATTTGCGCCTTTTCGGCTCTCCGACGGCTCAAGACGGCCCAAGAAGCCCCAAGATCGCCCAAGAGGCCCCCAAGAGAGCCCCATGATGGCCCAAGTGGCCTCCAAGATGGCCCCTAGAGGGCCCCAAGAGGGCCCAAGAGGCCTCCAACACGCCCAAGATGGCCTCCAAGACGCCCAAGATGGCCTCCAAGACGGCCCTGGAGCATTCCAAGCGGGCCCCAAGTCGGCCCATAGAGGCCCCCCAAACGGCTTCCGACGGCTTCAGACGTGCCAGGAACCCACCAAGATGGCCGAAGTTGGCTCGAAGCTGGCCCGAGACGGCCCAAAAAGCCCCAAAGATCGCCCAAAGCTTGCCCAAGAGGCCTCCAAGACGGCCAAGATGACCTTCAAGATGCCCACGTGTTCCCCGAAGGCTTTCCAAACCGATTCGGGGAACACGTGGTCCGATAGCTTGGCAGGTCTGGCCTCAACGTTCGGCCACATAGGCGCTTCCAAAAAGGCAGGGGGCGGCGGTGATTCGCCGTAGGCGTCTTCGATCCGCCGTCCCCTTCTGCTTCAGCAAAGGGGTGCCCGGCGTGCCAAATCCTATCGCCCCAGACGGGCCAAGAGGCCCCCCAGAGGCCTCCCAGACGGCCCAAGAGGAACCCAAAGGGTCCTCCAGGAGGGCCCGAAGAGGCCAAAATCATTGATTTTCCGGAGGTTTTTGAAGGATTTTGGAATGTGCTCTTCTCGGCTTTCCGACGGCTCAAGACGGCCCAAGAGGCCCCCAAGATCGCCAAAGAGGCCCCCAAGAGGGCCCCATGACGGCCCAAGAGGGCCTCCAAGATGGCCCCAAGAGGGCCCCAAGACGGCCCAAGAGGCCTCCAACAGGCCCAGGATGGCCTCCAAGACGCCCAAGATGGCCTCCAAGACGGCCCCGAAGCGCCCCAAGAAGAGGGTCCCCCGTTGGCCCAGAAAGGCCCCCCAGACGGCTCCCGACGGCGTCAGACGTGCCAGGAACCCACCAAGATGGCCGAAGTTGGCTCGAAGCTGGCCCAAAGGGGCCCAGGAGGCCCCCAAGAGGGCCTCCAGGAAGGCCAGAAGAGGCCAACAACATTGATTTTCCGTAGGTTTTTGATGGATTTTGACATTTCCTTCTTTTCGGCCTTCCGACGGCCCGAGACGGCCCAAGAGCCCCCAGAGATCGCTGAAAGATCGCCCAAGAGGCCTCCAAGACGGCCAAGATGACCTTCAAGACGCCCACGTGTTCCCCGAAGGCTTTCCAAATCGGTTCGGGGAACAAATGGTCCGATGGCTTGGCAGGTCTGGCCTCAACGTTCGGCCACACAAGACGGCCAGGATGACCTCCAAGACGGCCCCAGATGGCTTCCAAGTCAGCCCAAGATGGTCCAAGACGGCCTCAGTGAGTCCAAGACGGCCCAAGACGGCCCAAGAGGCCCCCCAGAGGCCTCCCAGACGGCCCAAGAGGCCTCCAAAAGGTCCTCCAGGAGGGCCCGAAGAGGCCAACATCATTGATTTTCCTGAGGTTTTTGAAGGATTTTGGAATGCGCTTCTTCTCGGCCTTCCGACGGCTCAAGACGGCCCAAGAGGCCCCCAAGATTAACCAAGAGGCCCCCAAGAGGGCCCCATGACGGCCCAAGTGGCCTCCAAGATGGCCCCAAGACGGCCCAAGAGGCTTCCAACACGCCCAAGATGGCCTCCAAGACGCCCAAGATGGCCTCCAAGACAGTCCCGAAGCGCCCCAAGAAGAGGGTCCCCCGTTGGCCCAGAAAGGCCCCCAAGACGGCTCCCGACGGCGTCAGACGTGCCAGGAACCCACCTCGAAGCTGGCCCAAAAGGGCCCAGGAGGAACCCAAGAGGGCCTCCAGGAAGGCCAGAAGATGCCAAAAACATTGATGTTCCTTAGGTTTTTGACGGATTTTGACATTTCCTTCTTTTCGGCCTTCCGACGGCCCGAGACGGCCCAAGAGCCCCCAGAGATCGCTGAAAGAGCGCACATGAGGCCTCCAAGACGGCCAAGATGACCTTCAAGACGCCCACGTGTTCCCCGAAGGCTTTCCAAACCGGTTCGGGGAACACATGGTCCGATGGCTTGGCAGGTCTGGCCTCAACGTTCGGCCACACAAGACGGCCAAGATGACCTCCAAGACGGCCCCAGATGGCTTCCAAGTCCGCCCAAGATGGTCCAAGACGGCCTCCAAGACGGCCTCAGAGAGTCCACGACGGCCCAAGAGGCCCCCCAGAGGCCTCCCAGACGGCCCAAGAGGCCTCCAAGAGGCCCTCCAGGAGGCCCGAAGAGGCCAAAATCATTTCCTGAGGTTTTTGAAGGATTTTGGAATGTGCTTCTTCTCGGCTTTCCGACGGCTCAAGACGGCCCAAGAGGCCCCCAAGATTAACCAAGAGGCCCCCAAGAGGGCCCCATGACGGCCCCAGTGGCCTCCAAGATGGCCCAAGAGGGCCCCAAGACGGCCCAAGAGGCCTCCAACACGCCCAAGATGGCCTCCAAGACGCCCAAGATGGCCTCCAAGACGGCCCCGAAGAGCCCAAGAGGGTCCCCCGTTGGCCCAGAAAGGGCCCCCAAGACGGCTCCCGACGGCGTCAGACGTGCCAGGAACCCACCAAGATGGCCGAAGTTGGCTCGAAGCTGGCCCAAAAGGGCCCAGGAGGCCCCCAAGAGGGCCTCCAGGAAGGCCAGAAGAGGCCAACAACATTGATGTTCCTTAGGTTTTTGACGGATTTTGACATTTCCTTCTTTTCGGCCTTCCGACGGCCCGAGACGGCCCAAGAGCCCCCAAAGATCGCCGAAAGATCGCCCAAGAGGCCTCCAAGACGGCCACGATGACCTTCAAGACGCCCACGTGTTCCCCGAAGGCTTTCCAAACCGATTCGGGGAACACATGGTCCGATGGCTTTGCAGGTCTGGCCTCAACGTTCGGCCACACAGGCGCTTCCACAAAGGCAGGGGGCGGCGGTGATTCGCCGTAGGCGTCTTAGATAACGCCAACGTCTCAATCTGCGCTGATGATTCTTATCCGTCCCCGCATGATGTGCCCAGTTGCGCCAAAGCAACGCCGAGACGCACCGACGCGACTCTGATATATCCCATTATGATAGAAGGGGGGCTGGCGGCAGGGGGCGAAGCCCTTACGGATATCGTAAGCCACATGTGCACACCGACGCACGCCAACACTTGCACTGGCTGTGGGGGTCCTGGCGTTCCAGGTGATCCGTTGCACCCGTGCATACTTGATGTGTGTCTTGCTTGCTGGAGCGCGTTCTGACAAAACGACTGCACAGTTTTGACGAGGGCTCTGCAGGAGGCCCTGCAAACCAAACATCGAAGGATGGCGGAAGGAGGAAACGTTCTGGATGGTCCCCGCAAGCTCCTTGAAAGACCAATGCCTTCCCTCCTCGAACCTCGATCCTCCTCCCTCCCTCCGCCCGGGCGCCTGCGCGCAGGTAGAAAATCTCCCCTGGGCCCAACTGGCACTCAGGGACGGTCTCCAGCTTCCCCCTGTCCCGGAGCACCTCGCGTGGAGGTTGTGGATGCTGCGTCCATGAGGGGAGAACCACGGAGGCGGAGAAAGGGACTGGGAAAATGAGGCGTCACTCAGGGAGGGTACGCGGGGAAGCGCAAGAGGAGAAGGGAAAAATGGATAATATGTGAGCCAATAAGACGGAAAAGACCTATGGGAAAATGCTTGCCAACATGGGCCCCGAACCGTGACATGATGTACTGTGGATGTGCGAAGTTACGCAATATGTCGCATATATATAATACTGATAAGTCTGTGTAGATATGTGTATATATATAGAGAGAGGACGTGCCTATTTTGTTTGCCAACTCAGGGGGCCGTCAACTCCCCTGATCGCGCAGTCATCCTGACCTTCCGCCCGCAACTTGTTTTGTGGAAAACACCTGCGGCCGCGATTGGCGGCCGCGATTACGGTGGCTGCTTGGCCCTGGTTGGCGCGTCAACGGCAAGCTGGCTTGGCACAGCTGATGCGGCCGCGATGGCGCTTGCCGATAACTCCCCAGCGCGTCTGGGGCCACGCTGGCGCGTGGGCACTTCCGCGCGGGTCGGTGACTCGGGCGGGTGCGATGATGATAAGAGTGGTGGCGATGATGACGTTGACGGCAACAAGGCCAGTGACGGCGCCGATTCTGGTGACGACGATTACGATGATGATGTCCCTGCGTCGGTGATGAAAGAGATTGACTGGTGATGGCGGCAGTGCTGGCGATTGGCGATGACGATCAACGAAGATGCGATGACGCTGATGCGGGTGATGGTGAGGCGCTGGCGCGCGTGTGAAATCAGGCAAACTCGTGTTGAACTGCATGTGCTTTTCGTATGTCTTGAAGGGCTCTTGCTCGAAGTGGTTCGAAAACAACTGGTTTTGCACGGAGTTCGGCGCGCGCGCGCAGCGGCGCGCTCATGTGGCCCGCATGGTATTCTTTGATACGGACTCGTGCACTGGGCGCATGCTGGATCAACTCACATGCACGTGTGTAGAGGTCAAACATCCAACCCCATAACAACCACCCCGAAACGCGAAGTCGTTTAGTAAACGCAAATTGTCGGGTCTGGGTGTTTTTTTCTGCCTTGAATGTGGTGAGGAGTGACTACGGGTTCTGAACGATATTGCTGAAATCACAGCAACTTTTCTATAGGATTTCAGCACTTGCGCGCGGGCAAACTATCTGCAGGATGTGGGGTGGCAAACCTGATGTGGTTTGATGTCGTTCTGCCGAAACGCTTGCATGACTGGTTTACTAAGGTGTCAATGTGGTTTTGACGTGTGCGCGCTCGTGTGGTTCCTGTGTATGTGTTGCAAAAAGGTTCTTGACAACCGTTTTTCAAGGCAAACGGGTGTGCGCAAAACGAATGGACACGGCCAAGAGGGAGGGCGACGATACCGGTCGAACTGGGATGGTGTGAACTCATATGAAAGGTAAAAGATGAAGCAGAAACACAGGCATACGTAATTCGCGGCTTCCCAGTGCGACTGGTTGAGCCCAGGCTCGGGGGGGTATCCTGGCTGTCTTTCGGAAGGAGAAGTTGTGCGGTGTGAGCTGTGAGATGTCAGCTATGTGGCGCCGTATATGTGGCGCATATCCGCCACCGTTCCCTGAGGCACGGCACGAGTTGGAGTGTCCGCAGGTCCTTGCCCTCACCCCATAAGCTTCAATCGATCTTCAATTCTGACGATTCTTGAACGGACCTGGGCCCTAAATTCTTTGATCTCTTGGGGCTTCTCGCGTGCCCCCCGGGCCCAAGCGCGTCTTATCGCATGACTTGTTCGGGGCCAATGGGGTCCCAAGACGGGCAAAAAACGCCCAAGGAGGCCACCACGACGGTCCAAAGAGCCCCGAATCGCTGAACAACCGGTCCAAGACGCCCAAGATGGTGTGAAAACGGCCGAAGAGGCGCACCAAGACGCCGCAAAAGAGGCCCAAGGTGTTTCCGACGAGCCCCCCAAGAAGTAGAATTCTCCGAATTTCCTCAGAACAGCGCGCTTTCGCATATACGACTTTTCGTCCTCACGGCTGTCAACACGGCCAAAGAGGCCCCGAAAACCGGGCCCAAGAGGGGGAGCCCGAACTCAGGATTCGAGCTTTCCGCCCCGAGCGAGGCCTCATGAGACCCCCAATAGATCCACAAGACACCCCAAGAGGCCCGAAAACGTCCCAAGTACTAAAACTGCCTCCAAGAGTCCTCGAGAGGCCTCCCACGACATCCTAGCGAACATCTAGGAGGTCTATGACCCACAAGCCAAACACGGTGGCGGGATGGGCCGAAGATCACTACAATCCGCCGCCCCCTGCTTGCAAGGGTGCACGGCGTGCTGGAGGTTTCAGGTTTTGGTTTTGGTTCTTTTTCTAAAAGAACTTCCCAGTGGGCTCCGGCAGAACCCGCCGGCCACCCGGAATTTTCCCAAACGTGCTCAACGACCGCAAAAAATCATCCAAAAACGGCCGTTTCGCTCGGGACATCCTCAAAAAATCGCGAAGATGGCCCAAGATGGCCTCCAAGTGCGCCCGAGATGGTCCAAGACGGCCTCCAAGACGGCCCAAGAGAGTCCAAGACGGCCCAAGACGGCCCAAGAGGCCCCCCAGAGGCCTCCCAGACGGCCCAAGAGGCCTCCAAGAGGTCCTCCAGGAGAGTCCGAAGAGGCCAAAATCATTGATTTTCCCATTGGTTTTTGAAGGATTTTGGCATTTGCGCCTTTTCGGCTCTCCGACGGCTCAAGACGGCCCAAGAAGCCCCCAAGATCGCCCAAGAGGCCCCCAAGAAAGCCCCCTGATGGCCCAAGTGGCCTCCAAGATGGCCCCTAGAGGGCCCCAAGACGGCCCAAGAGGCCTCCAACACGCCCAAGATGGCCTCCAAGACGCCAAGATGGCCTCCAAGACGGCCCTGGAGCGCCCCAAGAGGGTCCCCCGTTGGCCCAGAAAGGCCCCCAAAACGGCTCCCGACGGCGTCAGACGTGCCAGGAACCCACCAAGATGGCCGAAGTTGGCTCGAAGCTGGCCCAAAAGGGCCCAAGAGGCCCCCAAGAGGGCCTCCAGGAAGGCCAAAAGATGCCAAAATCACTGATTTTCCCAAGGTTTTTGATGGATTTGGGCATTTCCCTTTTTTCGGCCTTCCGACGGCCCGAGACGGCCCAAGAGCCCCCAAAGATCGCCGAAAGATCGCCCAAGAGGCCTCCAAGACGGCGACGATGACCATCAAGACGCCCACGTGTTCCCCGAAGGCTTTCCAAACCGATTCGGGGAACACATGGTCCGATGGCTTGGCAGGTCTGGCCTCAACGTTCGGCCACATAGGCGCTTCCACAAAGGCAGGGGGCGGCGGTGATTCGCCGTAGGCGTCTTCGATCCGCCGCCCCCTGCTTGCAGGGGTGCACGGCGTGCTGGATGATTCAGTTTTGGTGTTGGTTCTTTTTCTAAATGAACTCCCCAGTGGGCTTCGGCCCGTCCCGCCGGCCACCCGTAAGTTTCCGAAAATCCGTCTGTCAATGCCTTTGTTGCCCCAACTTGGCCCAAGATGGCCTCCAAGACGGCCAAGATGGCCCAAGATGGCCTCCAAGATGCCTCCAAGACGGCCACGATAGCCTCCAAGACGGGTAAGATGGCTCCAAGATGCCTCCAAGACGGCCCAAGATGCCCTCCAAGACGGCCAAGATGGCCCCAAGATGCCTCCAAGATGGCCCACGAGGCCTCCAAGACGTTCTCCAGGAGAGCCCGAAGAGGCCAAAATCATTGGTTTCCTTAGGTTTTTGAAGGTTTTTTGCGTTTTCATCTTTTCGGCCTTCCGACGGCCCAAGAGGCCCCCAAGATCGCCCAAGAGGCCTCCAAGAAGGCCCTATGACGGCCCAAGGGCCCCCCAAGACGGCCCCAAGAGCGCCCCAAGACGGCCCAAGAGGCCTCCAAGACGCCCAACATGGCCTCCAAGACGGCCCTGAAGCGCCCCAAGAGGGCCCCAAGACGGCCCAGAGAGGCCCCCAAGACGGCTCCAGACGGCGTCAGACGGACCAGGAACGCCCTAAGACGGCCAAAGAGACCCCCAGGAAGCCCCCAAAGGCCCCCAAGAGGCCCAAGGAGGCCCCCAAGATGCCTCCAAGAGGCCTCGAAGAGGCCCCCAAGAAGCCCCCAACAGACCCCAAGGGTGCCCCAAGAGACTCCTAACAACCCTCATCCTCCTACTCTATTTCTTCCTCTTCCTCTTCCTGTTCATAATCATTCTCTCCCATGTGTTCCCCGAAAGCTTTCCAAACCGACTCGGGGAACTCATGGTCCGATAGCTTGGCCAAGCTCTAGTCCAACTTTCGGCCACATCGGCGTTTCCAAAAAGGCAGGGGGCGGCGGTGATTCGCCGTAGGCATCTTCGATCGGGATGCGGTGCAAGCTCCGTGCTGCAATGTACGTGACCACGAGGCGGCCACTGGCGGCAACGTGGCGAAACCTTGACGGGCCCACCCACTGCACTAGGCGGCCACGAGGCGGCCACTGGCGGCAACGTGGCGAAATCTCGCCGGACCCGACGCGGCCACGGACGGGCAGCAACGTTGCGAAACCTCGCGGTACCCACGTTGCGCACGAGGTGACCGCACCAACTTTGCGCACGAGGTGGCCACAAAGCGGCAACATGGCGAAACCTGGCCAGACGGATCCTGTTCCTTACCGACATTACCAAAAACCCCAGAACGCAAACACTGTTCTGGGAATCTGTAAGAACTGAAGAAAGATGCTAATAAGGATGAAGGCGAAGATGAGGAAGGAGCCAAGGAGGGCGAGCACGAAGAACGAAATAATGATCGGGATCTTGTGAGGGGTGGATGGGGTGGGGCGCGCGAAAGGATAAGGTGGGGCAGTTGCAGTAGTAAGAACAGCGGTGGCAGCCGTACTACTCGTCGTCGTCGTGGTAGCAATAGGTGTAGGAGTCGTAGTCATCGTAGTAGTAGCAATAATAATAGTAGTAGTAGTAGTCGTCAGAAAAAAAAATAGTAGTGGTAGTAGTAGTTGTCGT